GAATTTGTGAAGTTCGTTTATCAAATGTTTATCGCTATCAACGACAATATTGTCAGTTTTAAGGACATGTGAAATGATAATGTTCGATGAGTGTTCATTTGTTGACGGTATTTCTACGGGACCGTTAAGTACATACCCGAATCTGGTAAGTGTAGCTACGGGGCCATAATCATGCTCCCCCCGTACTACGTGATCTAACATGAACTGCCAAATGTAGTCCGCCCCAATCAATATGTCAACTTCAAATTCATCCATGCCGCTACCTTTATCAGCTAAAGGCAAATCTTTTATGTGGGGATATTTCAGTTTGGCTACGTCTATGGCTTGATTAGCAACCGGGCTACAAATATTGTCTACCACAAAAGCATTAATAAACACAGTTAGGTTATCTGCTCCTTCGATAGCAATTTGGATTGAATCGCACGTTTTTAATGTCCCACTAACGTTACCGAATTCTTTAATGATTACCTTTTCTGTGCTTATGGTGGGCAACTGTAACTTATCCCTTAGCCTGCGTGAAATATACGATTTCTGGGAGCAAGAGTCTAAAATAAGTCTTACAACGCATTCTTCTGTGTTACTGTCTACTCTTCTTACTTTAGCTCTTGCAGTTTGTAATAAGACAGCGGTATTTGTGGTGTTATTGCGAGACGCTAGCAAGGTACTTACCGATGGTTGTGTGGGCGGTGACTGAGGCGCGGCGACGGTTTCCTTGTAGGCTGTTTCTCTTGCTTTTGCAAAACTTGTGGAACTGTCAGCTTTTGAGCCACAAATTGCAACATGGTGCTTTCCTTGGCATTTGAAACATATAGTATTGCTTCTGCAAAATCTGCTAACATGTCCACCACGTAAACAAACAAAGCATCTCCGTTTCTCGCGTAATGTCTGCTTCCGCGCGTCAGGATTCGAAACCGTTGTGCAGCTCGAAGAAAAATGTTTCTGCCCGCAAAATAAACAAGATGGTATTCCATCGTTTGCACTCCTTTCTCGTTTCTGGTTGTTGATTAGCAGTGTAGCTGCTGTGGATTGCTGAAAGGATGGTTTTGATCCAACTGTTTTTGTATTGGTAGCACTACCAATAGGTGCATAAGCGCACTTTTCTCGAAGTGAAATTTCTTCACCGAACGCTAATAATAGTCCTTCTAAATCCCATTCATCCGATAGTTTCCTCGAGATAAGAAGTCTTAACTCTACCGGTATTTTTGACATTATGATAGGCGTCAAGATAGTTCCGTAGCTTTCTGCAGATACACCAATTCCATTTAAGCTGCGAACAGTGCTTTCAACTTTGTCGTACATTTGACGCAATTTCTTTAAATCCGCTCCGTTTTCAGTCCTTTGTAAATCCATTAAGGCTTCAATATGTTTTGAAATAATTATTTGACGATTTCCATATCGTTTTCGCAATAAGTCTAGAGCTATTTGATAATTTTCACTTGTGAGTGGAAGACCTGATATCGTTTTAGCGGCTTCGCCAAGCAGCGATTTCTGTAAGTATTTGAATTTGTCGATAGGAGCCAAGCCTTGAGATTCATCAATTGTTGAGGAAAAACTATCCCAAAATGATGGCCATTCTGTCGGGTCTCCATTAAACACCGTTAAAGGTAATTTTGGTAGCTTCACTTTTCCTGCTGTGGCAAAACCTTGTGATTCGAAGCTGCGATTAAGTTCATGTTGCGGGGCGATCGTGTCCTTTTTGCTAACTAGATCTATTTGACATATTATGTCTTCCGTTTCTTCTTCCAAATCGCTACGATCTACTATTTCTTTCTCGATATCGACTTCTTCCAAAAGATCCTCAATTTCTGTATCTAGTGTCGTGATAATCAATCGTTTTCGTTCCAGTGTGTTTTTGATTGATTCGAGTTTCGATTGTTGTTCCGGTGGAAGATTCTGACCGCGCGGAGGCAACAGCTCTCGGGCCTTCGCGACATTTTTGCGAACAACCAGGCGATGACCGTTTCGTGCCTGAATTTTCTTCTTTAATGTTTCTTTTTCAGACATTACAGCTCCCGGGTCACGGTACCAAAATGTTGGGTAGCTGGCTGAGCATCCTTGTAAGGATACACGGAAGGTCCTGCGTCCTTAGTTTCCAACATTTACGACAATTGTAAATATTAAGTCCAGCTATAATGACTAAAAGATTGCCAGAAGACGATGATAATAAAACAAACAGTTACATTTTAGACTGTGATGATTTGTGAATGAATAAATGAAATACAGCGTTTCGTTGTGATAATGCGTTCGTTCGTGATGATTTCAGGCGACAACTCTCCTTAACAACTTTAAAGATAACACCTTATACAGAAAAAATAAGAAGGCCCTTACGTAGGCGCTTGTACATAGGGTGACCAACTAAACAAATTCAACAAGTAGGGGGCCAAGGCTAGCAAAAGTAGGGGGCCAAGGCTAGCAAAAGTAGGGGGCCACGGCTAGCAAAAGTAGGGGGCCACGGCTAGCAAAAGTAGGGGGCCACGGCTAGCAAAAGTAGGGGGCCACGGCTAGCAAAAGTAGGGGGCCACGGCTAGCAAAAGTGGGGGGCCAAGGCTAGCAAAAGTAGGGGGCCACGGCTAGCAAAAGTAGGGGGCCACGGCTAGCAAAAGTAGGGGGCAAAGGCTAGCAAAAGTAGGGGGCCACGGCATTTGCCCCTTTTACTGCAGCGTTAAAACTACTTGCTTCGCAAAAAGGGGGGCATGGCCCCTCCCCTCCCCCCGATGGCATGGGCCCTTAAAATTTTCGAGGAGGCCGCACTTCGAAAGTGTCATCATCCTAGTCGACAGAAAATTAAGATTGGCTGATTGACTGAGAAATATTTACCAGACATGAATTTTTTTTACTTTTTCCGGAATAGACTTGCAATGGTATCATTCTTTTCGGGGGAAATTTGATTGCTTGCTTCTGTGACAAAAACCATGTTCTTTAATTTATTGCTAGAAAACGGTGTCGAAATTGTCATAGAATGGCATCAGGCAAGGTTAAAACAACGAAAGTTCAAATTGAGGTCTACAATGCCCACGCGTGGCTTCTGTTACGCTCGTCCTACGCATGACCTTGCTCGAAAAACTCCACAGTTGCTGAATATTGAAAGATACTGTTTGCAAGATAGCTGTCTAGCGAGTCCTGTTTCATGCTCTATTCACTAATTAAGGAAGCTACTTTGAAAATCCGAGGCTGGATTTTTCTTAATTTGTTCTTAAATTAATTTTTCTTATTTGTTCTTAAATTAATAGGATGTGAGCAGTGCAATTGCTAGCTTTTTCGCTCTAGAGAGGTGTTCAGGTGCTCATTTTCTAGCAAATGAGCGAGACAACCTTCATTTGCCGAGAAGTTTTAATATTCACCGAAAAAGCACCCAAACATGGCTAAAAATCCTCGTTTTAAAGATAGAACTTTGTTCAAAATTGCATTTTACAGAAGGTCAGCCTCAGCTTGTTTTTAATTTGTTCTTAACATTTGACAAATTTTGAGGCCCATGTTCTAAGAAAATTCTAGTGTAGTTGAACAAATCTAGAAACAAATTTGGCTGGCTAAGCACCTTTTTTGTAAGTTATTTTTATTATCAGTAAATCAGAGACGTCTGTAGGGACTCATAATTTTTAACTTCCTGGAGAAAAAACCAACAATTGTTCATAACCTGGATCTCCAAAGAAAAAAGAACAAGGGATTCTTCAAGAATATGTCCAGGCAAGATAATTTGTTTGTTCCGCCCGGAAAAATCTATAGAACTTCGACAGGATTGGAAATTACGTCACTGGTGCATGTTATGAAGTCACGAAGGGGAGATTCAAGTTTTGATATCGAAAATGGATTCTTTCGGCATAGAAAATGGAGGAAAACAGGCCATTTAAAAAAGGAACTCGGAGAATTCACTGAAAATTTTTCGGATAAAGTAAACAATAACCAGTTATCGCATCCAAACTATTTCGATAAGAGTCTATTTCGAAAAAAAATTAAGACTGAGATTTGGCAATATTTTAAGCACATCACATGGACAACCAAGGCCTAACCAATTACAGGAAAAATCATTAAAGTAGACCTTTTTCTAAAGATGTCTACAAGATGTCATTTGAAAACATACACATTTCACAATAACAAATGGCGTAGACCAGAACCTTGAAAATGTCAATTGGACTGTCTAACAGTTATGACCCCCCTTTATAAGGCACGCTGGAGCCAGGACACACTGGGCCCAGTGGTGGAAATAATGGTTAAAATAATGGTCATCAAAGACAATAATAAAAAACTACTTTAAAGACCGCCAATTTGTCTAGAGAAACCAGTCCCCCACCCCCAAATGTGCTCAAGCATCCCTATTTATGACCCCCTGTTATCACGATAGCCCCCCTGCCACTCATAATCAGAGTTTGCACAGCCCTTGTTATTACAAGGCCCCTCTTATCAAGCACTTTAGAGTGGCTACACGATCATACACAAAGCTCTCTTTTTCAAAAATGGCTTTTTCACTGTTGTGCGTTTCATTCACACAATATCATGAAATTCAGGCACGTTGTTTCGACTTATTTTTGCAAAAAGCACAGTCAACAATGGATGGTACTTACTCTAGACGAGAAAACGTTCGCAGACAGACAAGCTCTTCTAGGTCCCAAAGACTAACTAGTGCGTCTGCACTTCCAGTAGCAAAATACCTGAAAAAATTGAAAGCAAATGCCAAAGCTAAACTATGGAACTCAAGTTTGAATTCAATAGAATAGCTCTTTACAAAGAATACATTTTGAACTCTGTTTAGAATTGTATCAATAAGTATAGCAGAATAGAATGAAGGATTTGAAATCAAACTTTGCAAGCCTAATGAAAATGTCTCTACAGCTGCAAAAAATGCTAAAGCCTTCATTTGAAATATAATTCCACAAAATGATTCGGAGGGGGGGGGGGGAGAAAGCATTTAGGTCTTGATATTTTTAAAGGGTCTGCCCGTCAGAAAATCGTTGGCCTAAAATTAAACAGTTTGAGATTAAAAATAGAAAACATCAATTTTCTAAATGACTTTGCAAAGCAGGGGCAAGTCCGAGAATTGAAACAAAGCTGGGGGGGGGCACAGCAAAACTCATCAAACATTATAATATTGATCACTTTGAACACATGTTCGGAGCCCCCTTCTCCCGGATCCACCACTGTTGCAAATTTGTAAATTTGATAGACGAAATAACATGACAAAGATATAATGCGTAATTTCAAAGTAAAAAAATACGCATTATAAAAGTCAACGCGATATTATCAATTCACAGAACCTTCCAGCTTTGGATAAACACCACGAAAAAAGCTCAACATATTTCTCAAAAATCAAAGGAGAATTTAAGGAGAAGATAAAATACCGTTTCAATGACAGTTAGCTGTTATCCAGTCTGAAATAATTTTTAGCGAAAATATTGTGAAATAGGCAAGGTTACAAAAGGAAATACAGAATTTGCGATCTTCATTCCACTCTTTTGGATATAGAATTTTTAGAGAACTGATTTTGAGAAAGGAACTTAATCATATATCAAACTTCCAAAACGAATACACTACGGGAATCGTGGCGGAGGGATCAGCCGCCTTATTAAAATTCGGAGAAATTACGTGGAAGGAGGCTCAGCCCGCCTTTAACGGGGAAGGGGGCGAGCACATGTGTGGTTGGATGAATTCTGTGTTGGCAAACCTTTATTATGCAACAGATTTTCGGCGAATGAGAAGCTCGAGTCGATAAACAGTTTGAATGATTTTATATACACATCAGAGAATCTTTAGCAAATATATAAATATATTGGGTGTGTTAAAGGGATGTAGTCATGATTTTTCACCTTGTGGTTGTCTACAGCACAGACCTTACCTTTCTCGATGGCACCCCTGATATAGTGTGCTACGCACTTTTTCGAGAGAGAGGGAAGAGGCCTATATTAGGGGGCAATTATTGGCTTCTTTTATTTCTGCACTTCATCGCACTTCTCCCTTGCACAGACTTTTTTAGAACATTTTGGTGCTTAACGGCTCATAGACACCCCAAAATAACCCCAATTTTATCTGTTGTACATGTATTTATCTTTTAACATACTGGTTACAAAATATTTTGACAAAAGTGAATAGCTTTTTATTGACTCGGCCATACACACAGTAAAGACTTCAATACCTTTTTGGACAAGATGGTTTTAAGCCTTGTACAAAATTCACTCTATATGATTTCTACTTTCTGTACATCAACCTATATTGTTGGCATTACGTGTTAAATTTAATCAAGAAACACAGCCGTTGGACCCTGGCCGCTTGTAACCAGGGAAGTCAGAAGTTTTACGAGTTGTAGGGGCACAGATAGAGGGGCATTATGTCTCTGAAAAGAGGGCATAAAAGGGGAATTTTGGAAAAGGAGAATTTTTGGAAAAGGGCGTTGAAGGGGCACAGGCCCATGGGTACACCCCCTGTTCCGACGTCACTGTATGGAGAGGCACAGGCCCATGATTACACCCTCGTTCCGGCGTCACTGTCTGAAGGGGCACAAGCCAAAAAAGAGAAAGAAAGAAAAAAAATTGCTCAAGAAAGAAAAAAAAGCCGATGGGTACACCCCCTGTTCCAATGTCGTCGCTGTTCTAACGTCAACTGTAAAAATATGTTCATTCTGGCCATGATCCCGAGTTCTGAGGCTTTAATCTTCCTCCTAAGCCTGCATTTAAAGTTTCTGTTTAAATCATGTGCGTCCATTCCTTCAGACAAATCGGCCAGTTTGCATATAGCAAATAAGCTCTTAACTGCGAAATTGTAACAGAAATGAACTGACCTTCCTTTAGGATCAAACTTGATGCAGATGCAGTTTGCTGGGTGTGCATTCAACGTATGTATCAGTTTAAGATCAGGATAACTAAAAGAAATTAATTCAACTGAAATTGTGAAAAGAAATACGTAAGAATGTACTTAAAAAGATCTAGCCGTTTGTAACTTCAAAAAACAACCACCAAAGAAGTCGGCATCACAAATTATTTGATTATCTCATACAGACAATTTAAAAAAAGGCTAGGATATAACGAGGATTGAACGGAAAATATTTTAAAACTCTGAATTCTAAAACTGCGAGATAGAACGACTTGGCAGGGTTCTGCCAAGTAACCGAGACATGTTGCCATTATAGTTTTTGCACAATCAGAGTTTTCTAGTAAATGCTGCTCCATAGCGGAATCTCATGTTTTACTAGTGGTTTTTTACCTGCAAGACTGAAGAGACTGTTCTTTTTGGGGATAAGTGTTGTTTTTAATGCTGGAAGGGACATGCCGTTCTATTCTATCTCCCAATCTTTAGTTTGTGCGTCCTACGTAGCCAGAATCACACTGGTATGTATTTTTTGGCTGGATGGAGGTTAAAAAAGTCTTTAAACGGTACAATGCCTGCATGAAGAGAGATACCGTAAATCCTCGAATTGCCCCCCCCCCCCTCGAGAGAGCCCCCCCTCGAATAAGCCCCCACCCTAGAACTACAAATTGTCAATAAGCCCCCCCGAATAAGCCCCCACTGCTACCGTAAATTCTCGAATTGGACCCCTCCATTTGATGATTGTTGCCATCTGAGGTTGCTTATGGCGTTTTATTGAATTACCACAACAAATTCATAATTTTAGTAATAATTAATTAAATGCTCATAAAGAAATTTCTACTAAAATAAATGAGGTCTTTTAATATTGTCCTCTTTAGTGTCTACAATAATTTTATAAGCCCCCCTCCTCGTATAAGCCTCCCCCTCGAAAAAGCCTCCATCCAAAAATATCAATAAATAAGCCCCCAGAGGGCTAATTCGAGGATTTACGGTATAATGCCTACAATATGCGATCCATATGCACGTGTTTAGCGAACCCTTACTGCTGCATTAAAAATGGTGTCATTGAAAAGTGTCTTTTTTCCAGCATCCTCTTGCTAACTTTTACATAAACATCTAACATCATCACGAGAGAAAAATTTATTATCAGTACCTTAGAATATTGATACATCCATGACCGTTTGTTAAAAAGAACAAATCATTGGTGTTATTCCAAGATATTTCATTTACCTGTAAAAACAAACGATATCACATATAGGCAAGTCAAAACTGTTTCACATGCAGCTAATTTATTATATTATATTTATTAACTATATTGCAATGAATCTATTTTACTGTGGTTTGCAACTCAAAAAGGTATTTTGGGCAACATATATTTATCCTGATTGAAGCTTCGTGAAACTTACGTCAGAAAAAGTAGCCTAAAACCTAGTTTTTTATGTGTACGAAATCTGCACAAAATTGACTTTGTTTGTCTTAACCAAACAAACAGGCAAATAGTTAAGATAAACCTAGCATAGGAAAAAAAGTGGATAGTACGAGAAAATCATAGTTGTTGTGACCCAGACGACCAAAGTTAAATCGTTTCGCCGAGGTTGCATTCACATGGAAACAACGTATGCGGTTTTTACCAAAACAAAAATAAATTTCTAGGTATTTAGAGATAAAACATAGGATTCGCGCTGAAGGAGTGCGAGATACCCAAGGAAAGATTAGCCCCTTGGATTCTGCCATTAGGCGTATGTCCACAAAATTATAAAGATTCAGGGTGCAATTAGTCGAGACAATTATTCAATCTCCTGGCAACAGTAATGAATCGATTGTAAATGAAAAGGAAACACTTTTCAGGCAAAATGAATCATAACTTTCACATAAAATTAGAATTCAGCGATGAATTATCGGACATACAGTGAATTTAAGGTGTTACCACAGCTGCTTATTCATGGGCCAATATGGCCCATAGCAATGTTCACGGTGAAATGTGTACTGCGGAGGTCGTGAGTTTGAAGAGACGTGCACTTTTGCCGTTCAAAAAAGCGAAATGATGACAGGGATGTGGGCTTTTTCCTTCCAATTCACTGACAAAACCCAAGCCAGAAACCCAGTCATAATGAATTGGAGAATAAAAACAGAAAATTCGTACGGGTACTGAGAGTTACTGTTTAGTAACCATATATGTTACTAAACAAAAACGCCAAAAGACTGGAAGTCTAAATTCTAGTCAGGCCTTTCCCATTGAGTTTACAAGCTGTACTTTCCATGCAAGCCATGGTTTATCTTAAAGCTCAAAAGCTTAGAGGCCGCATGTCAGTTTGCCGAAAGGTAGAACCCCCCCCCCCCCTTCCAAACGGAGATAGGAAGATAGAAGTCTACGGTGTAGGCAAGGAAGTAAGAGACTTCAGAGCAATAAAGGACAAAGAAAAACAGTCGAAGTTTTACAATTAGTATGGAAAGAATCCTTAAATGTTGTATAGTGTTAAGGGGATCACTTAAACACCTTTGGACACATTTACGTCATTAGAAAGCCCTTAAATGCATCGGTTAGATAAATTCAGTACAAATGCCTTGATTAAGCTTGCGCTCTAGTTGAACAAAACAATTTTATTCGCCACAAATTAGCTTGGGTATTCAACAATATAAAATCAGTGATCAGACATTATCAAATAAAGGATATTAACAACAATCATTTGTCAACAAGTCAATTATCTTATCACCTAAAATCGCGTATTCAGTTTCAATGTGTATAATTTTCTTGATCAGGCAAATCAATTTAGTCTCTATTCATCTTTTTATTGCATCTAATTCGAAGGCAATGGGACATTTGTTGCTATGTATCTTTGGTTAATGGCTTAGTTGCACCAGATGGTGTTAATGCTAAACGCCTCCACAGTCTCAAAAATGAAAATTAACATGGAAAATTCTCGGTTTAAAAAAAATAAAAAATTGCCCTGCAAGTGTAATTACAACATTCAGGAAACATTTGATTTCAGATTCACTCAACCCTCTAATTAGCACGCGATAATGAGGACAGGGCTTTGCAACTAGTTTTTGAGGAGCAACCTTCTTTCGTTTTCCTCAAGGTCAGCAAGAAATCGTTACAAATGAATATTATCGTCGAGAAACAACGATATTTGACGGGGTGCGACTTTCCTTGAAGAGTTTGAAACAGGTTAACAACCCCACCTCCACCACGTGGTCCTTAAAACTTTCCGCAGGCAGGTCCAAGGACCCAAATAGATCGCATTTTATCTTCGCTAATTGTGTTTTAGAAAACAGTCCTACAATTGCGTCATCACGTTTGTAATTTGACACATGACGCCATAAATGGAGATTAAGAATCAGTTCAATTTCAATCTTGATATACTTTCATAAAAATTTAAACCATCTTCTTTCCATAATTTTGCAAATCGTATGATAGGCAAGTATCCCCTACTACTACTTTTAAGTACTTGTACTAATGCATACTCTGACGAGCATAGCCCCAAGCCCTCCCTAAGCACAACCCCTATTGTGTTACTCTATCTATTCCAATTTTCTACAGGGCTAGAATATCCTTTAAACTGTTGTTTTAAAGGCTCCCCTCCTCCCCTTAAATGTCACTGCACTTCAGCTATGGTAAGCCTTTTTTCATTGGCTATATCACTAAATTGCTGCCATTTGTGTGGGTAAACATCTGTGCTTTTTGGGGTTTGAAATTACTTATTCCATTATTTATTCAAAGAAATGACTTAATGTCATTTCTTATTTTAAAAAAAGACATAAAAATCATGTCAGCGATGATGTTAAGAGAGGTACTCTTCCCTTATTTCTACATTTTAAACAATCTGATTTTTTTAACAGTTAGTTTCCACAATCAGAACTGGCTCACCTCAAATTTAAACTGTTCTTCTGCTTTAGTTCGAAAAGTTTTGGTATCAACAAATGTTATGAGATCTTCCTGTGGGAGTACAAAAGGCATTAAGTACAAAGTTAAAAATAGCTACGATTGTGGTAAAAAGCATAACAAATAGTTAAGGAAGTTCAAGCAGTCAGCTACTTACTTTCCTCAAATTCTGGTAAAGTTAAAGCCATCTAAAACTTACCTGCAAATATATTACATTGAACCAAGCAATATAATTTAAGAAATCAGAATTAAAAAGTGAAAATCAGCAATAGCCTATTTAAGTCATGAAAAAATCGAACATCACCAGAAACAGCAAGGTAAAACAAAGCTTTCAAACAATGCAATCAAAATTGATGTTTGGTTTAAAAAACTTGCCTTGTTTCCAACAGCAATGGTTTGCCCATCTGGACTCCAACAAATATTGATATTTTCACCCCTAGTACTAACAACTTCCATGCATTTGCCGTTGGCTGAAATAAACATTGAAAACAAATAAGTAGAATAATAAAATGATTCAAAATGGAAACCTTTGAATTTGTCCCATTCAAGCTTGCCACAAGTCAAACTTGTCAGAAAATAAAAAGAAATTACCTCTGCCTTGTTACTGAAGCCAAACACAGGGATGCAAACAAACTCTCTTGCTGGGACAGCAGTTGAACAAATAATTTCTGTACTGCAAATTACCATATATAAGCCAAGCCTATTGAGCATTCTGGGGCCCAAAATATTAGAATATTTTCTGGGACCAATTTTTATATAGTACAATACTTTTTCTACCCATGGCATAGCAAAAAGATATGATTCACCAAGGGGTTAAAGGGATTCCGCTAGACAACCTTGGACAGGCTTTCTTCACAACAATAACACAACAACTTCACAACAATAATCTAATCAAAATTTTTCAACTCATTCAAGTTTCCTATGAGTTCAACACAGCTATGTGATTTTTCTCCAAGAGTCAAGAATAATTCTTCGCTTACAACAGATAGTCCTCCCATTTACAATAAAAGAAAAAATTTACTACTCCTGATCTCTTCAAAATAGACATGACCAAAAATGTAAGCATGGTAATTTTTGAAAGTGTTTACCTCTTGCATCCCAGACTCTGATGGTTTTGTCTCCAGAAGCAGTAACCAGAAGGTCAGGGTGACTTGGATGCCAACACAACTGATCAACACTATCAGTATGACCTTTCATGTTTGATTCTCTAAGCTAAGATAGGAAAAACCAACTTATATTAAATTATTCAGCAAAAGCATGATAAAATTGGACTGTGAGAGAAGTAGATGTCAGATCCTGATTAGACAAAACCTGAAGTTGAAGGTTCAAACTAAGAATCATTGGAAAAAAATCTTTAGATCTCTTAATACCAGTCTATCTTTGTCCAGATTGAAAATGCTGACAGTTTTATCAAAAGAACCAGAAGCCAGATATCGCCCAGTGCAATTCCATGCCACAGAGTGTACCTGCAAAAGAGAAACAATTTGCAATTGAAGAAATTTATTGTAATACTGTTTTCGTTCTAGAGAAAAACATTTCTTTCAAGGGATAAACATTGTATGAACTGTAAACATCAAGGGCATTTTAAGGTGCACAAGAATTTAAAGAATGGGACAAAAAGTCAAGAAATTTTGATATATGTAGGTTTTAATTATCATCCTTGTTGGTTAGCTATTCAAGGATGCACTGTGCATCAGGGGTAGATTTAGAAAAAAATTTGAGTGGGTTCTTATATAGGCGTGGTCCCATAATTTTTTCCTGGCAACGCCCTTGACTTTTGTCCAAAATTGGGTGATGCCCATTTTCGCTTTTTTATTAGATTCACAATTGCAAGATTTAATTTTAACAATATACATTATTCCATCATGATTCCAAGGCAAGTAAAAAAATATTTATCTGTTAACCAAACCAGGAATTGTCATTATGAATTCTAAAAGAATGGTTTAAATTTCTTGCCAAACAGAGGACCTTAATAAATTCCTCTAGCTGGTTACAGCAGGACATAAGCTTACTGAGTGTTGCAAGATTTAAGTGAAATTCATTCTATAAATATTACCCATTAATAATAAACAAGAAAAATTTACAAATAGGTCCGAATAGTCACCAAGATTGTCAAAAATGGATAACGATGGGCGAAGCCTCTTATCATATATAGCAAACAAACCCAATTATTAAAAAGTGCAAATTATGACATATTAAATCATCTTATCCCATTCTCTAAAGTCTTTCATTTTACCTTGATAAAGTTCTTACTCTATAGATAAATATATCATGTATAGGGCTTCAAGAGTTCTATCAACTTTGCAGGTCAAAGAGAGAATATCTTCGACATTCCTGAGCTTCCTGCAAAGAATTCTCTCCTGCTCATTGCAAAATCTCATGAATACCACTTTACAGCTATCTGAAATGGACTTTTCGCTTGATCCATGAGCAAAAAAGCGGTGATCTGTCTTCTCTGGGTTAGCTAGGTCAGTCAAGAAAAATGAACAAATAGTTGGCGAGGCATGTTTGAAAAGCTGTATTGAAAATTTAACGCACTCTTCCATACGATTTTCAAAATTTCGTTGATCTTTAGGTGCTGGTATCTTCCTGTTTGAGGGCTTAAAACAAGCTCTCGTCGTCGTGCAGTCAAAGCCTCCAAGCCTCCACTCGCAGCTTCACATCGCCATTATAAAAACAGGACGGTTAGCGGTTTAAATAAGTTTCAATGAGTTCTTGAGATGGGTTCCAAGAGGGTTCTTTGGTTTGTAGTGAAAACAATATAATACAATCAATTCATCAGTGGTGGCCCGGAGCCGCCGAAAATAGACAAGTGGTAAAATAGGAGAATCCGGTCTCAGGCAGAAAATAGACAAGTCCCTAAAATATCAATTTTTTTAAAAACACTAATTTATTAAGTTGTTTTAAGGAGCTAAATAGCATTAGATAGCGGTTTTTACGATTTAGAACAACATTTTAGGCCTTGATAGGAATTCAACAGTTTTAAAAACGAGATTCTCTAATGTTACTACTAGCAGACGAAGTCTTATCGTAAAACTACCCTGTCATTTTAAGTCAAAATTATAAATCAATCTCTTTCTTGTTATACTTGATTGAATTTGACAATAAACGTTCAATATTTTATAAAAAAACAAACGAAAACAGACCTTCCTTTGGCTGGCCTCCGTTAGCTGCTTTTGTCATCCCTCTGAAGGATCCAAATTACCGCGCGGAACAAATTACCGTTCATGATAACCAAACATTGTATCATTACATCAACATTAAAGCCAGCATATTTAAATATCGCTACCCAAGCAACAATTTGAAGCTAATCGTACTTCCATTCTTCCGTGCTTGCATTTCCCCCGGAGAAATTCATACATTTTAGCACGGATCTCCGTGGCTCCGAGCAGGCAGAAAATAGACAAGCCGGCTCCGACTTTTAACGCAAAAAGTTATTTGCAGAATTTCTTCTTACCTCGCTGTGTTTTCCAGTCTGATAGAGTTTTTAAGCAATTCTCTACAGCATTTACGTCTAGAAAAACCTTTTTATTTATTTCAAACGAAATATTGCCATGTGTTCTAGCACGGCTCCGACTTTTTGTTCGCTCTTAGAATAGACGAGGTCAAACGTTGAAAACCTGAACATGTATCTTGACCCCTGGTGTAAATGCAGCATTTATCCAAGAATTGATATGTTATTAACGTTTTGATGCATTTCCCCCGGAGAAATTCATACATTTTAGCACGGATCTCCGTGGCTCCGAGCAGGCAGAAAATAGACAAGCCGGCTCCGACTTTTAACGCAAAAAGTTATTTGCAGAATTTCTTCATACCTCGCTGTGTTTTCCAGTCTGATAGAGTTTTTAAGCAATTCTTTGCAGTATTTACGTCTAGAAAAACCTTTTTATTTATTTCAAACGAAATATTGCCATGTGTTCTAGCACGGCTCCGACTTTTTGTTCGCTCTTAGAATAGACGAGGTCAAACGTTGAAAACCTGAACATGTATCTTGACCCCTGGTGTAAATGCAGCATTTATCCAAGAATTGATATGTTATTAACGTTTTGATGCATTTCCCCCGGAGAAATTCATACATTTTAGCACGGATCTCCGTGGCTCCGAGCAGGCAGAAAATAGACAAGCCGGCTCCGACTTTTAACGCAAAAAGTTATTTGCAGAATTTCTTCATACCTCGCTGTGTTTTCCAGTCTGATAGAGTTTTTAAGCAATTATTTACAGCATTTACGTCTAGAAAAACCTTTTTATTTATTTCAAACGAAATATTGCCATGTGTTCTAGCACGGCTCCGACTTTTTGTTCGCTCTTAGAATAGACGAGGTCAAACGTTGAAAACCTGAACATGTATCTTGACCCCTGGTGTAAATGCAGCATTTATCCAAGAATTGATATGTTATTAACGTTTTGATGCATTTCCCCCGGAGAAATTCATACATTTTAGCACGGATCTCCGTGGCTCCGAGCAGGCAGAAAATAGACAGGCCGGCTCCGACTTTTAACGCAAAAAGTTATTTGCAGAATTTCTTCATACCTCGCTGTGTTTTCCAGTCTGATAGAGTTTTTAAGCAATTCTTTACAGAATTTACGTCTAGAAAAACCTTTTTATTTATTTCAAACGAAATATTGCCCTGAAGCAAGGAACCTATGGCTAAATGTTGTGTTTGGGATTTATAGTCTCACAATCGTTGCGAAACATGTCTTTTTAAAGAAGAGAATTGGGAATGTTGTAATTGTAGCAAAAACCAAAAACCATCTAAAAGCAAGCGAAAGAGCAAAAGTTACATTTATAGCCTTTACGTAGCTGTATGGTCTTCAAAGATGTCATCGAATGTTAAAACTAGCAGCTGAAGTTGAGTTGTAAATAAGACGTAACAGTATAATACAAAACAAGTATAATAATGACGTTATAGTATGATAAAACATATATGAAAGATTTTTCTTCTGTTATCTGCCTACCTTATCATCCGCTACCTGCCTATCTTAACAGTGAAAGAAAACGAAAAGTCAGAGCCGGCCTGTCTATTTTATGGAGCCAGGCCAGAAAGGGGGCAAGATTTCGTTTTAAAAGGGTAAATGCTGTAAATAATTGCTTAAAAACTCTATCAGACTGGAAAACACAGCGAGGTATGAAGAAATTCTGCAAATAACTTTTTGCGTTAAAAGTCGGAGCCGGCTTGTCTATTTTCTGCCTGCTCGGAGCCACGGAGATCCGTGCTAAAATGTATGAATTTCTCCGGGGGAAATGCATCAAAACGTTAATAACATATCAATTCTTGGATAAATGCTGCATTTACACCAGGGGTCAAGATACATGTTCAGGTTTTCAACGTTTGACCTCGTCTATTCTAAGAGCGAACAAAAAGTCGGAGCCGTGCTAGAACACATGGCAATATTTCGTTTGAAATAAATAAAAAGGTTTTTCTAGACGTAAATGCTGTAAATAATTGCTTAAAAACTCTATCAGACTGGAAAACACAGCGAGGTATGAAGAAATTCTGCAAATAACTTTTTGCGTTAAAAGTCGGAGCCGGCTTGTCTATTTTCTGCCTGCTCGGAGCCACGGAGATCCGTGCTAAAATGTATGAATTTCTCCGGGGGAAATGCAAGCACGGAAGAATGGAAGTACGATTAGCTTCAAACTGTTGCTTGGGTAGCGATATTTAAATATGCTGGCTTTAATGTTGATGTAATGATACAATGTTTGGTTATCATGAACGGTAATTTGTTCCGCGCGGTAATTTGGATCCTTCAGAGGGATGACAAAAGCAGCTAACGGAGGCCAGCCAAAGGAAGGTCTGTTTTCGTTTGTTTTTTTATAAAATATTGAACGTTTATTGTCAAATTCAATCAAGTATAACAAGAAAAAGATTGATTTATAATTTTGACTTAAAATGACAGGGTAGTTTTACGATAAGACTTCGTCTGCTAGTAGTAACATTAGAGAATCTCGTTTTTAAAACTGTTGAATTCCTATCAAGGCCTAAAATGTTGTTCTAAATCGTAAAAACCGCTATCTAATGCTATTTAGCTCCTTAAAACAACTTAATAAATAAGTGTTTTTAAAAAAATTGATATTTTAGGGACTTGTCTATTTTCTGCCTGAGACCGGATTCTCCTATTTTACCACTTGTCTATTTTCGGCGGCTCCACACCACCCCGGCTCCGTGCAGTGCAGTCAATTGTATCACTATAACTGTTAACGTCGAAAAATGTTTTTTACGGTGGGATTCATGTCCTTTAAATAGAAGCTACCCAAATATGTGAAATTCATTTCCACTTTCTTTTTTTCCTTTATCCCGAGATAAAGTCATTATAATGGATTCAAATTCTGAAAATTATTAAAAGCTTTCGTGAAAAACATGGGAATTTTATCTTTACTTTCTGCAAGTTAGTTACTGCTTTAAGTTAGTTACTGCTCACCATTGTCAAGCGTTCGGCAGTTGGGTTGCTCGTAGCCTCCATTTGGGTATGTGTCCACTTGGCCAGACCTTTGTTCGATACCAAACCCTTTGACGTAGATTGTCTTTGTGTCTGTGTGCATTGCATCAACGAACTCAGCATCAGTCGCGTCCAAGCGTACAACTGGAGGTCTGAATTCGTAGTATGGAGATGCAGCATCGAGGCCTAGGGATATTAAAGTGAGGTAGTTATTCACCCTTCATTGATGTAAGGAATTGTCTAGTTTCCATACTGCTCGACCTGATAGTCATAAATAAGCATGTTTAATAGTCATAAATTAGCATGATTAATTATTTCAAGTAAATAGTTAGAGTTAGGGTTAGGTTTAGGTTTAGGTTTAGGTTTAGGGTAAACAAATTACGTCATCGGGTCGAGCAGTATGGAAACTAGACAGCTCCTTGATGTAATGGCTTTTATGAGATGGTTGTTGCAAACACATTTGCAGTGTGGCGGGAAAGTAAAAATGATAGATATGATAAGCACAGCAAAGTTGTCATTAATCATTTGCTGGATGCTAGAATATTTGTTATTCGCTGAAAAACATCCGGGACACTAAAATAAACCAAAACATAAGCGAAAACAGTTCATTTACATCCCTACAATCAACTAAATGTTGTAAAACGGCCTTAGAGTGACTACTTTTTAACTGTAAATGAACTTTGATGAACCAATAAGAATGGAGGCAGGCCCGATAGATTTTTTTGAAATATTCTTTGCCATTTACCACGAGTTTTCGTTTGTTCGCAATGGAATAGAAATTCTTTAAACAATATATTGTATACGTGAAATTGTGTGTTTTTAAGGATACGCAGATTTAAATAACAAGAGTAGATCAACTCGATCTGATCCGATCCAAAGATCACTGCTCGGCGTTGGATTTTTGGCTTTACTCGTTGACATCGAACAAAGTTATGTAAACCATACTTCCTCAGAAGAACACTAAAGCTGTTACTTATCCCCTCTTGCCCAACCCCAGCTCTCGCCCTCTTACCCTGGCAAAGTACAATACCTGAGATTCTCCCAACTGTATGATTGTTTTGTCTAAGATATTTCCCAGCATGCCCCACAAGCTGAGCGCCAATGCTGAATCCAATGAGGTGAACGTTGGCGAAGCTCAGTCCAAACTGACTGTTCATCAACTCGACCAGTTTCGTTATCTGCATACCAATCAATCGAACATTTCCGAAGGCAAAGTGATATGGCAGCGCTCCTTGACCCCAGTCTACTATGATCACATTCATGTCTTCCTTGCGTAAGAGCTCGTCGATCAATGCTCTGTGATAAAACATCTGGCCATATTCTAAACGAGGGTGAAAGTATACATGACAAGTTGGTACCGTTTCCCCGCAACAGCAAGGTTAGATTTTATTTTACACATGGTATAATCTTTGTATAGCAAAAGTGGGTTAAACGAGTGCTCTACTTGATAAAATCAACTAACGTCGCCTATGTTATCTACGGCTAAGCCCCCTCAGTTTTGATGCCTGAATATACCCTGAACATACTATGAAACCTGCGGTTCCTATGAAATTTTGCTCTTTATGGTATTATCCTGCCAACGTTGCAACATCAAAT